TTAAATGGTTAAAGGAATGAGAAATTATTTTATCGAGCTCGGCTCATAAGTTGGCTTGACACACTTACACCCTTAGCATCACCAGTCTTCATGCCAGTTAAGTCCATCATTTATGTGCTTCTACTAATACTTTATTTAGAACATTTTTTTGCCATTAATTTTTTGTTGTTTTTAGAAAAAAAAATTGTGCTGAAATGTTATTTTAGAAAATAATAAGAAAACTGTCTTGAGCAAATCTTAAATGATTGGAAGCTTAATCAATATCGGTCTAGCACTCATCTTAATTTTTTTATGTTATTGCTTATGTTATGATTAATTTATTTAAAATTTCAAGCAAATTTCTTACTCTTTTACAAAGTAATTTTTTTAATAAAAATTAACATTTTTTTACTAAAAACTACTTTAAAAAACAATAAGAAAATAGTCCCAAATAAAATTTAAATCTTAATATAAGTTTCCAATAAATATCTTATTAGTTGAAAGCCTAAACTTCAAAATAACAAGTCAACTTGGATCACTACACCCTATGGTTAATTCAAATGGCTGCCTTACATTTCTTTGTAGGAGATTCCTCAATATTTTCATTTATTGATTATTTGTTGTGCAATATTGCACAAATAATAATTAATTTCAAGTTAAATATAATTTGATACAGTGATTATTTATTAATTAATGTGCAGTTAACACCTCATTGCAAAGTACTTAATAAATAAGCATCACAGCCCGTACATCGAACAACCTAATCATCACCATTAATTGTCCCAACCCGGCCCGACCCATCCGCCAATATTTAATTGCCATCATCCGCTGCAATAACGCCATTGGTTCTGCTCGAAGAAACAGAAGAAGATGACGAAGAAGAAGAAGAAGATGCTCGGTCAGCAGTGTACTTCTCTTCTCTTTCTCTCTCTCCTCACGGGATTCCCAGAGCTCTCACGAGCCTCATCCGACACCCATCTTCCGGCATCAGGCCCGGCTGAACCCAAATCCAGCTCTTCCATCTCTCGGTCTCGTCGCATTCAAGAGAGCAAATTTCAGAATTCAAAGCCCCGCCTTCCCCTCTTCCCCAAACTATCACACAAATGACAAAACTCGAAATTTGGAAAGCCAATCTCTTCCTTCTCTCGCATCGAGTCTTTCTAGCACTAAAACAAAGCATAGGCGCCATAGCCTTTTACTAGTTTCCACAGCTAATTAACCGTCGTACCTCCTCTGCTTCCCTCGTCAATGGAACCGACGACGTACTCTTGGTCTAATTGCTCACCTCAATGATCTCTCCACTCCCTTCTTTTGTTTTCTTTCAATTTAAAGAGGCTTCAATCCATCTCTCTCGCTCTCTGCAAATGTGTCTGTCAGCTTAATTGTCTAAGGGGCAGAGCGGTATGCCCCTCTCCTGTTCGGTAAAAGTCCAAAACTATCTTTATCAGCTCTGACAAGAGCTTTATTTATGGCCATGCAGCCATGCATGCATGGAATTTCCTTCTTGGACGGGCATTATAAGCCCTTTCTCGGCCTTTTCTTACCATCTTATAATCTACTTTTAACTTGGCCAGGTGAGCTTTGCACTTTGATCCGATTATCGACCTTAGAGCTAGCCCTTTGTACATGCAAGTCATGCATGTGCGAGATTCTATATCTCATTAATTGCATGTTTTATCAAAGCCTTACCGAACGTTTGAGGCCTAACTAGGTGTACGTACCTTACGTGCTCCAATTAAAAAATTTGAAGAACTTTGAAAGGAAACTGAATTGTTTTTAGTTAATATAGCCTTACATCATTAAATTTTAATCAAGTAGTAGTGTTTATGGAATTTTCATTAATTGCTTGGTAATTATATGATTGTTGATGAACAGTAGTTCACTAATTTTTCAGTAAATTGTATATCACCCTCTCTGCTAGTACGACACTTTGTTGCAAGCTAGTCTTCTTTGAGAAATATTGATTAAACCTTTAGACATAACTTTCTTGTCCTTATCTAGATGAGTTATTATTAATTATTTATTTTTAATTTAAAAAAATTACATATGTTTTTGCACTGACAATAAAAGGCATTTGTTAGATTTAATATTGCTAACAAATTAACTGTTTTTGGCTAATACATTAAAGTTTGAGTTAATTAGGCTAAACTTTTTTAGAGTATATATTATATTTTATTTGGAATGACTTTCTTACTGGTTCTTAAAATAACTTTTTATACAAACTTGATTTTTTACCTGAAAATAAGCAGTAAGAAAGCAAACCCAAACAAAGTCTTAGTCATACAATTCTAGGTAAGGGTTTTTTGTTTTTGCCCAAACAAAATTTTTCTATTTTAAAAATAAAGAAATTTAATAGATCATTCATTTAATTCTAGGTAAGTAGAAATATGCATTAATTTTAGACCTTATATGTAATTCTTCTAAAAAAAGCTCTCAAATTGATAACTTTCTTTAAAAATGAGTGAGAACTAACATTTTGTTATAAACAACCAAATGAGTGATTAGTCATACATTTTGATCTTTTAGAATGACTTTCACTAGAGAAAAATCTTACATTACCGATGAAAAATTTCTGATGGTGAACATCAATTTTCCGGCGGTTTTAGAATTTATAGGCGGTTTAAAAACCGCTAATATAAACCACGTATAAAATGTATTCCAGCAGCAAATTTCCGATGGTAATTTTTTCCAGCTGTTTCATGGCGTCAACTTCAGTCGAAAATTACTGGACCCAAAACCATAGCTAAATTTCCAGAAGATTCCGGCGCAAATATTGGCAGTTGTACCGGCCGTCAAAACTGTCGGTGTTTCCGACGACCATTGTTTTATGTGACCAAACCATTTAAAGCGACTCTCTCTAATTTTATCTTCCACTGGAGCTACTCCAACATTTTCATGTATATGCTCATTTTGTATTCTATCTCTAATGGTAAATCTACTCATCCACCTGAGCATCCTCATCTCTGCAACACCTAATTTAGCATTATGCTTCTGTTTTAATGGCCAACATTCTTACCATAAAGCATTGCAGGTCTCACCACCATATATTATTGAATTAGAAAATTTGAGGGGGACTTTTCTATCACACAACAAGCTCGATGCATTCCTCTATTTCAACCATCAAACTTGAATTTTACTGATAATTTCCCCTCTATTTCACCATCACTCTGAACAATTGATCTAAGATATATAAAACGTGTACTCGTAGTAATGATTTGATCATCCAAACTCACAATCACTTCACTAGGTCTATTACTAGTACTAAAATTACACTCAATACATTCAATTTAGATCTACTCAAGCAAAAACCTTTAAACTCTAAGATTGACCTCCCTGATTCAAGTTTTCCTTCAACTTCCTATAGTCTTATCAACAACAAAAATATCATCGGTAAAAAGCATACACACTGCTAAAATGTTCATGTTTTCGCAGCAGTTTTAAAACCGCTGCTATAAATAAATATAGGCAGCAGTTAAAATCGCTGCTATATTTACTTTCAAAAAATTAAAGTAATACAAATATTTTGTAACAGCGGTTTGCAAACCGCTGGCTAAATAGGCCGCTCAATATACTTCTCCTCCGTTTGATGCCCTAGCCGACTCATACAATACCTTTGTCTCGATTTATCTCGCGATGATCATCCACGCCGAATCAGCCAGCCCCACTGTCGAAGCCACCATCCGGATGCAGAATCCTACCATTCTGATGCTGAATCTTGCCGTCCTGATGCCGACGGTGAGGGGGAGGAAAACAAGATGGAAAATCGCTGCAAATAAAATTGTGGGTATAACCGCTGCAAAATCCAGCATTTCATCAAATCTATCCCGCCGGTCCTTAAACCGCTGCGGAATGTATTGCAACGCATTGCAATTACAGCGGGGGTGCAGCGGTTTTAAAACCGCTGCAAATAAAATTGTGGCTGTTATAACTGTCGGGATAGGTCAAAAATTGTGCTGCCATAGGCCTATTTTTTGGTAGTGAGCTCTAAATATTTTTTGCAAGTCTTCATATCATTTGATTTGTGGTAGTTTAAGAACTGCAGAAAACTCACAAAGGTAGACATTTTTTATTTTGTTTATTTATATTTTAACATAGTATAAAATATCTTTATTATCTTGGGGGGGGGCGCTATTTTTAACGTTCTTTTCAGCAGCATTTCCCACGGTAGAAACTAGCTTTTAAAAATGGCTGAAAATTTTTCACTTAAAAATGATTGTTAAATAGTCAGTAAATACCGACATGAAAATGTAAAACCGACGGAAATATCATCAGTTTATTCTTAATTACCGATAGTTTAACCGCAAGAATTTCCACATGTATTCAATAAATTTCTTGTAGTGTTTGTTAATGTTATGATCATTTTTAATGTTTATTAATTAAGTAGAAGGCTTAAAAAGCATGAGATGGATTAAATATAATTACTTCTACTAGTTATTCTCTAATGTTAAAATTCATTAAAAGGCAGAGTAAGATAATTAATTATTGAAAGATTTATCTCCATTTGATTATACGCACATGAATAATAGCTTGTGACAGTACTTGATGCTGATGATGCGAGGATAGATTAAAAGAAACATAACCACACCACCCATACCCTTCTCTACTAATTTAGATTGAGGCGTGTCAGAGTGCTCAGGTGCATTTGTTTTCTGTCTCAACTCTTTCTCTCCTTAGTCCTACTCCTATCTCTTGTCATTGTAGCGGCTGCCTCCTCTTTTTGATGCTAAGGAATCCCTTCTCTTCTGCTCTTCCTCCATCCCGGCCCCCCTTCGATCTCTCCTTCTCTCTCATCATAGTGTTTCAATGGAGTCCTTATTTATTCCAACAAATCCAGACCATCCACTGAACCATATTTATTATTATTTCCCTTCGTCTTCCCCACACCACTTGATTGCAATCACAGGCTGCAATTGAAAAACGTCCCTTTTTCCTCTCAAGCCCATGCATGAAACCATTAATTCATTAGCCTACAGCCTCTTCTTCCCTTTCCTACACGAAATATAATTCAGCCGTCCACCTCTGATCACCTCTACGCCTTCAAATTCCACACACTGCTCACCAACCAAAGATCGATCGATATATCGAGAGTATATCGTATGATGGCTTCTGATTCCAAAGCAGCTGCGACGAAGAGCTCTGGTTGTGGGGGAGGTGGAACCGGCGCGTCCGCCGGACTTCGGCTGCCGGAACAAGGCCTGAAATGCCCGCGCTGTGACTCACCGAACACCAAATTCTGCTACTATAATAACTACAGCCTCACTCAGCCTCGCCATTTCTGCAAAAGCTGTCGCCGTTACTGGACTAAAGGCGGCGCCTTGCGCAACGTTCCGGTCGGCGGGGGTTGCCGTAAAAATAGGAAATCGAAGTCTTCTTCTTCCTCGGCTTCCTCATCTTCCTCCTCTCTTCTCCCCCTAAACCCCGAGCCCGGCAAAGCACTCACGCAAACCGCGATGGATCTCTTCCTACCCTTCTCCTATGGTGCTAACACAGCTGCCTCCATGGCGGGCTTCAGTTACAATGGTAGAAACAGCAATTACGGCAGCATAGCTTCTTCGATCGAATCACTGAGTTCCATTAACCAAGACCTGCATTGGAGGCTTCAGCAGCAGAGGATGCAGTTTTTGTTTGGGGGAGAATTAGCTCAGAAGGACAACATTGTCTCTTTCATGAACAGCCAAGTAGTGGAGCCCAACTGCTTTGGAATGGCAGAGAACAACAAAGGTGAGATTTTTGGTGACAGTTCTGGTGCTAATGGGTCCCGGAAGGGTTCTGAAACAGGGACAGCTTGGTTTCTTGATGGTTCTTTTGCCATGCCAGCACCTTCTCCTATCAACACTGACGTCGATATGAATAACCCCAATTCTGTAAGTGATTGGAATGGGATTTCAGGTTGGAGTGATGTGCATAACTTCACTGCTCTTCCTTAGTTGATTAAATTTATTTAAAGTTTTCAATCAAGACTTTCAAGTGAGTTGATACATTTATAAATATATAAATATATATGTTGTTTTTAGTACTTTAATTTGTTGATGGATTGGGAGATGGAATGTTTTTTTTTTCTTCTTCTTCAAAGAGAGTGACTGATCAATAGATAGATGCTTTTTGTTATTTTTTTCTTGTTTTGCTTTATAAATCTCTTTGTTTTTGTATCTTGCTTCCTTTTATGTTTTTTAATCGATTTCTTTTACTTTTTCTGCTTTGGAGTTAGGGTTCTCTTTCTCTTTTGAAAAAGAAAGTTCTCATGGCCTTGAAAACAGTAACAACGAAGAGGCTCAAGAGGAAGCTGATTTTACCTTTAGTACATCAGCTGCATGTCTATAATTATCCTTACTTTAAAAGCCATCAGTATTTCTATTTGTCGTATACTATAAATTTTTAAGTTTATAATATTTATTTATAAATAATAATGATACTTTCTAAAATGTATTATAGTTAAAAATTAAAATTAAATTAATTTAACATTATGCATAAAAATCAAGTTGAATATCTAGAACTAACTATTTTCCTCGTCTCTATTGTTTTTATTTGATTCATAGTCCGGGAGCTTAAGTTTCGTCTGTAAAAGTTTTTTACTGTTTTTTAAATTAATTTTCTATGAAAAAAAAATTCTTAAGAACAGTGGCTTAAAGTTGTCCTAAACTAAACATTAAATTATCATTAAGACATCCTCTTTTCATTATGTTTAACTCGAATATGTATATTATTTAAGAATATTTATTTATTTTTATTAGATTTAAAATATTAATGAAAATTTTATTTAATCTAACTAAAGCCATATATCTATGTAATATTAATAAATTTTTATTTAGAATTATTAGCGAAATATGAATCTATTTATAGTGTTCATAAATATCAAAGCAATACACTAGCATTATTATGTGTGTTTGTATATATATATATAATTCAATTGAATTTTAATGAATTGACTAAGCACTTTTTAATAGATAATTTCATAATGTTTTATTCATTATTAGTAAATTTAACTTTTAAACTTAATAGGAAAAGGAAATTATAAAATGAGATATTGAGCTATCATTTAATGAATATTTTATTGAGATTTTTTTAATAGCTGTGTTAATTAAAAATTAAGCTTGTCTAAGAAATTAATATTTGAATGGGTTTATATTCAACTCATTGAATTCATTGAATTGTTGAACTTCCACAATTTTACATATGCTTATCAGATTAGTTATTAAGCTTAAAAATCCCTACATAGATCAGTATCAAAATATTCTTAGAGATACTCATTTGCTAACACTCCAATTTAATTAATTATGTCCGTTACTGTTAATAAATAGATTTAAGTTGAAAATTTTATTATAATTAAGCTTGAAGAAATTTAAATCAATAAAATGTCTTATGCGATGAATATGTTAGATAATTAATTTCTTAAAAGCAAATCAATTAGTCATGAAACTCATCCTCACCTAAGTTTTTTACCTTCAAAAATCTTTCTTAGCCAACTTTTAATGAATTTTTTGGCGTAGCGTTACATGTAATGTAGTTCCTGGAAAGCTTGATTTGCTAGTATATGGAAACCGGTGGTGCTTAAGAAGTTATTGAGGTGCAGGGTTGTCAGTATATGAATCAATGAAAGAATCGAGAGAGAGAGAGAGAGAGAGAGAGAGAGAGAGAGAGAGAGAGAGAGAGAAGAGTTGGACGGTGGCATCTAAATAAGGATCTGCTTTGTTTGGTAAGTTGTTTTCGATCTTTCTGTTTGCAGGTTCAGAGCTGAGCATCTCCAAATAATTAATTAAGCAATTAGTGCATTTTTTTTAACTTTTGCTTCCTCCATAACTGCAGGGATCATATGTTAGTTCTCTATTTACTGGATATATTACAATTACCTTGTAATAATCTGGTGTGAAATTTCCAATATAGATATCTTATTAGTATACTATCTTCTTGGAAAAAAAATATTAGGGTTTCCATTTTCATGTGGATATTTTACTAGAAAATTGTTGAAGTTTTGCAGTTGATGATCCCAACGTCAATCTTTAGTCCTTTAATAAGCTAATGCTCAGGCTGTTCTTCTTTGTTTGCTTTGGCACCTGCAAGAGCATATATTTTCTTAGAAATCTCTTGCTCTATGTAGATGTCTTTTAGCCTTCTCTTATAGCTGGGTAGGAGCTCACCAAATCCTCCCGCGAAGAACAAACCAGACAACTGTAAGGAAAAACAAAGCTTCATCCCAGGATGAAAACTATTCTAAGGGCCATCTTTACACTACTTTATATTGGGAGATATGTACAAAATCTTTGGATTTGCCAGGAGTACGTTACTTTTAATTTTAAGGTTTAGGGTTTTTAATCATGTTTTCTAAAACTTTGGATGTTTTAATTAAATCATTAATCATTTTTAAAATTTTAATCGAATGGTTAGACCTTTTGATCATTAGTATATATTCTTAATAAGTCAAAACCTTTCATAAAAATATGATTGGTTATATTTAATTAGAAATATAATTAGTCATATAAATTTTAATTAAAATTTTGTAAATAAGCCCGGTATTTAATAGACATCACATTCATCTAATTAATTTGCCCATGTTGGCCATAGATTCCATAAAGCAAAAACTTTCAGACGATCTCAGCAGGCCTGCTGCTAGTTCTTAATATCAAGTCAGCAACACCATATTGCCAGCTCTAAGGCAAGGGTTTGCTATTCAGTTCCAACAAATAACAAGATCGATAGAACTAGCAACTATTGTCATCAGCTTTTAGTTTGGGGTTTAGTTTGGGGCGATAATGTTGCACTACATGAAAAGTACTTATTGCCGGCGGTATTTTCTGACGGAAATTTATCATTTTCTGGCGGCTTTAGAATTTAACGGTGATTTTCCGGCGAAAAATTTGAGAAATGGTAGAATGTTTAAGTGCTACACTTCTTATGTATCTCAGGAGATGACTTTTATCATAAAGCATAATCCACTCTCAATTTGGGCTCTTAATTTTGTATTAAGGGTTAATAAGACAATTTATGGGTTATATATTGTTTGTAAATAATCTTCACTGAGAATTATTAGCATAAACAATCAAATGAATCGAGTCTCATGTTATTAAAATCCTTTTATGTTCACTTTAACATTGATTAGGAAAGGTTTTATTGGCTTTAATTAGGAGATCCAATTATGTCATTAATTAGGATATTTAATTAAGACATTGATTAGGCTTTTCTTATTAATTTTTGTTTCAAACCTATACATAGAGGTTAATGGATGCTGTAATTGAGAGTGGGAGAGCCAATTGTAATATTGTTTCTTCAATATAGTGAAATCATATGACCCCTCTCTATTGATGTAAGTATCTTTGTTGATCCACATAAACCATTTTGTGTTCTTTGTGTGATTTGTATTGCTTTTCGGTTGTTTTTTCCACAATAATTGGTATAAGGGCTTGATTCAGATGTGATTTATGATGTGCGGCTTGGAGATCTAGTTCAACAAAGATTCTATTCGTCTGTTGGGAACAAATGTTCTATTTGTTTGTTGCTGGAGCAAAATAAAGTAGAAGCGCGCATCACGTGCGCACAGATTGCAAAAGGTGGTGCTGAAGCGCTCATCACGGGCAGAGGGTCGCGTTGGTTAAGGGATCACATTGCATTTGCACTTTCAACCATGGAAGTTGAAATTCCTAATCACTACAAAGAAGAAGTTGACAATCTAGATGGTGATCTTTAGAAAATGGCTATAGATAAAGATATATAGTATCTTTAGAAGAATGTTACTAAGAGGTTGGTGAAGCTTCCTCCAGGAAGGAAAGTCATTAGGTACAAATGGGTGTATGCAAAAAAGGAAGGTTATCATAGAGCTAATGTGTAATATAAGACTAGGTTGATGACAAAATGCTTTGCTCAAAGGGAAGGGAATGATTATGATAAGATGTTCTCCCCAGTGGTTAAGTTTCCCTCGGTTCGTGTTCTCTTAGCACTTGTAACACACTATGATCCGATTCTAAAGCAACTAGATGTGAAAACTGTATTCTTACACTGGGAGTTACAAGAAGATATATACATGCTACATACACCTGGATATATATGAATCCTCAAAAGACTTAGTTTACAGATTGGATAAGTCTTTACATGACCAATTGTCCATTTGTCTTTAAGAACTACATTTAGTTTGATCCCTTTGGGAGGGGGTACATAGGCAACCATACTTGTGCAGTCATTTTGATATTGAAGTTTGTTTTGTCATCTTCCACTCCTTAAGTGAAAGATAATGTCCAGATTATTTTGGAGATTATTTTGAAAATCGTTCCCTATTTACTTCAACATTGATTAAAAAATATTTTCATGGTTTTAATTAGGAGATCCAATTATTCCATTAATTATGATATTTAATTTTGGCATTGATTAGAGCATCGATTAGGCTTTCCTTATTACTTTTTTGTTTCAAACCAATATATAGAGGTTCAGAGCTATTGTAATTAAGAGTGGGAGAGCCAATTGTACACCTTTTTCTCCAATATAGTGAAATCATCCCCTCCTTATAGACGTAAGCATCTTTGTCGAACCACGTAAATTGCATCATGTTCTTTATGTGATTTGTATTGTTTTTCCACTATTTATTGCACAAAATCTCATTGCACAGAATTTTTTCTTCTTCCTCCTCTTCTCTCAATCATGTATTTTCTATTTCTAGGAGTTTCTAGCAAACTGTAATTACCATTTATCCTACTTGTTCTAATGAGCTCGTATGAGTTCCTTTTGGTGCACATGATTACTTGTTTTCAGATGAGCCCTTAAAAAAAAAAAAATACAAATTTAATTTTCAAATTTTTATGCGATGGATTTGCACTATATAAAAGTCAAGTCTATTAAAGCTTCGTTTGAGATTGTTTTCTTATTATTTTTAATAGCAATTTTTTAGTATAATTATTTAAAGTAACAAAAAAGCAGTTGTCAAAAAGTGTTTGGAAGCCTAAAATCAATAAGAAAACTATACCAAATTAAGGCTTTGTTTGGGACGGATTTTTGGTTGCTTCTTAAATCAGTTTTTTAATAAATAAAATAAAA